AAGGTGGAGGGTCAGAGAAAAAGAGGAAGAACCCCAATGAGATGGATTGGCCAAGTGGCAGCATCGATGGCAACAGTAGTGAGGTTGGTTCAGGATCGGGCAGTGTTTCGTTCTGCTGTGCATAAGGTCTCTATGGGTTGGTACCGACTCAATGGCACCTAACAACAACAACGTAAGAATGACACTGGACTAAGTCCTAAGACCTAAGGAACAAACACTGTGGTTTTCCAAAACTTAAATTGATATTTCTTTTATATTTTACTTAATTTATGTTCAATCAAGGACTGACAGGATTATCTTAAATTCCCATTGGTTTACAACTTGTGTATCTTGGACATTACACTTCTTCCAGGCAACTTGTCCATTTCCTAGTCATAAAGCCTCTGTCTTCAATAAAGTTGCCTTGGTTATCTAGTCCTGCTATCACAGAAATACCACACACGGATGGCTTTAACAAACAGACATTTGTTTACTCAAAGCTTAGGAAGCTAGAAGTCCAAACTCAAGGTGAAAGCTCTAGGAGAAGGCTTTCTTTCTGTGTTGGCTCACAGGAAAGGTCCTTGTCTTTTCAGCCTGTTTCCTTGTTCCTTGGCGATTTCCCTATAGCTTGGCAGAAATTTTCCCCTGTTTCTACTGCTTACACTAGTTTAATCTCTTTAATATCTCAGAAGAGATTGATTCAAGATACACTCCACACTAATCTTACCTAGCATCACAAAGACAGAAGCCGTACCCAAATGGTAATAACTACAGGCAAAGAGGCCCAGATTTCCAACACATATATGGAAAGACAAAATTAAATCAATAAGAAAGATAACTGTTAGAACACATTTTTATACCATCTCTTGGATTATTGAAGCTATCCAATGTAAAATGGAGTCCAGATGTGGCACTGTGGGCTAATGCGCTGGACTGCAAAGTCAGTTTGAACCTCAAGGTCAGTGGTTCAAGCTCTTTGGAACCGACTCGACGGCACTTAACAACAACAACAATGTAAACTGTCTCAATGTCCTTGTTCTGAATTGGTCCAGGCCCCTGCTACCCACAAAGCATTCTGGGAAAGTATCTGTGCTGAGGAAGTAAAGGTAGAAAATACTCCCTTATACCTGTGGCAAATAGGATCATTATGATGCTTCTATTTGTAAATCATTGATTTGACATGTCTAGTATCTAGCAAATAAAGAACTAGTATAACTCAACAGTAAAATAATAACCCACTTTACAATTGGCACAAGAATAGAACAGACATTTATTCAAGGAATATATACAAATAACCAATAAGCACATGAAAAGATGCTTAACATTATTTGTCATCATTAGCCATATCCCCTGATGTAAATAAAAATCAAAGTGAAATACCATTTCACACCCATTATAATGGTTAGAATAAATGCAAATAGATAGCAAGTCTTGGCAAGGAGAAATTGCTAGTGGGACTGTAAAATGGTGTGGCCACTTTGAAAATAGTCTGGCAGTTTCTTAAAAGATTATACATAGAGCTAAGTTGTTGTTGTTAGGTGCCATCGAGTCGGTACCGACCCATAGCGACCTTATGCACAAGAGAATGAAACACTGTCCGATCCTAGGCCAACCTCACTACTGTTACCATGCTTGAGTTCATCGGTGCTGCCACTTGGCAATCCATCTCGCTGGGGGTCTTCCTCTTTTTCTCTGACCCTCCACCTTACCAAACATGATATCCTTCTCCAGTGACTGGTCCCTCCTGACAATATGTCTGAAGTATGAGAGACGAAGTTTGGCCATCTTGGCCTCTAAAGAGCACTCTGTCTGCACTTCTTCCAAAATGGATCTATTGGTTCTTTTGGCAGCCCATGGCACCTTCAATACTCTCCTCCAACACCATAACTCAAAAGCATCAATTCTTGTACGGTCTTATTCACTGTCCAGCTTTCACATGCATATGAGGTTATCGAAAATACCATGGCTTGGGTCAGGCACACCTTAATCCTCAAGCTGACATCTTTGTTCTTCAACACTTTAAAAAGGTCTTGTGCAGCACACTTGCCTAATGCAATACGGTGTGTTGTTTGATTTCTTGACTGCTGCTTCCGTGAGTGTTGATAGTTGATCCAAGAAGAATGAAGGCCTTGACAACTTCAATCTTTTCTCCGTTGATAAAAATGTTGTTTATTGGTCCAGTGGTGAGGATTTTTGTTTTCTTTACATTGACATGTAATCCATACCGAAGGCTGTGCTCCTTGATCCTCATCAGTAAAAGTTTTAAGTCCTCTTAACATAAAGCTACGTTGTTGTTGTTGTTAAGTGCTGTCAAGTTGGTTCTGACCCATAGCGACCCTGAACAGGGTTTCTGAGGCTGTAAATCTGTACGGGAGCAGAAACCCTCATCTTTCTCCCGCGGAGCAACTGGTAGTTTCGAACTGCTGACCTTGTGGTTCACAACCTGATTCATAACCACTACGCTACCAGAGCTCATAGAGGTATATGATCCATAAATTCCATTCCTAGGTTTATGTGCAAAAGGACCAAAAACAAAGGTTCTCAAAAAACTTCTACACGAAAATGCAGAACAACATTTTTATAGTAACTGAAAAGTGGAAACAATCCAAATGCTCACTAATTGATGAATGGATAAACAAAATGTGGTACATCCATTAAATGGAACATTATTCAGACATAAAAACGTATGAAGTACTGATATATACTACATGAAAGAACCTTGAAAGCATCAAGCTAAGTGAAAGCAGCCAGTCAAAAAGATCACATATTGTATGATTCCATTTATATGAAATGTCCATAGAGAAAGTTGATTAGTGGTTATAGGGAGTTGGGGAGATTATTGAATGGGGAGTGACTGCTAATGGGTATGGAATTTCTTTTTGAGGTGATAAGAATGTTTGAAAATTAGTGTGATTATAATGGTTCCACAACTTTATGAATCTACTTAAAAGCAGTGAATTACACTTTAAAAAGGTGAATTTTATGTGAATTAAATCTCAATGGAAAAAAAAAGATGCCTTTATTTCATTAGTCATCCTTGAAGACAGCCATTAAAATAAAATTCCATTTAGAGGTACACCTAAGTTCTGAACAGGCATAGAATGTATGATGTGTGGCGCTGCGGGTTAATACGCAGGACTTCAAGGTCTGTTGGAAGTGCAAGGTTGGCGGTTCAAGCTCCCCAGCCGCTCCTCGCCTACTCGAAGACACTTAACAAAACGTATAATGTTTAATATATATTTCTAAAGGGTGTTTCAAATGAAGTAGTCCCAACTAACTCAAGCCAAAGCAAAGGGGAATCTGAGCAGCCCAGGGCGACACCCCTGCATTTTAGCCTAATGGGACCTCCCGGAAGCCCATATGGGTACTACTGACACGTGACCAGAATAGCGAGAAGGGGTGGTGGTGGGGGGGAAAGGCACAAAGCGCGTTTGTGACGTCATTTCTGTGCGTCTCAATCTTGGCGTTGAGTTCCCGGGCTTCTTCTCTAAACTATGCCGAAAGTAGTGTCCCGGTCCGTAGTGTGTTCCGACACCCGAGACAGGGAGGAATATGACGATGGTGAGAAGCCCCTCCACGTCTATTACTGTCTGTGCGGCCAGATGGTCTTGGTACTTGGTGAGTAGTCGGGAACGGGAGCGTGTGCGTGGAGCGAAACTTCGCGTTCTTGGGGGTGAACTTCCTCCGCTTGCTGTCTGGAAGTCAAGTCTTAGTGAAGATGGGTGATCTTTCCCTCTCTAACAGAATTCTCCCTACACCTCCGCGCCCCAACTTCAAGGGCATCTTTCCTGCATTGTCTTGTCGTTCCGTAGTATTCCGTAGTATCCAGACCTCTCCTCCCTCAAAACGAACTTCCTCTTTTCAAAAAAACAAAAACAAAACAAAACAACCCTGTATCTCCTGCCTCTGGAAACTTTATCACCTTTCTGCTAATAATTGTGGTCTTAAATCAAAAGAACGTAAAACCCTTCCCTGCCCTACAGTTCCTTCCAGCTGTATATATAACCCTGTTTCTTTGCTTCTTTTACAAAACATTCCTCATAGAGTCGCCTATATTATTGTCTCTGCGTCCTCACTTCCCCCCCAGTTCAGACAGGGTTTCCTTCCCACCTCACCATCTAAACCATACTTTGTAAGGTTTCAAGCGGAATTCCACTGTTGTCAGTTCCAGTGGTCAATTATATGAATCCCCCCTCTCTCTGCAGCATTTGACACAATTGCTCACTCCCTCCTTCTTGAAACACGTGCTTTATTTCTTTAAAGACTCCACACTGCCCTGACTTTCTCTCCCAACTCACATTTTGCCCCTTCTCTGTGTCTGACTCCTTTCTCTCAGATTGTAGGCATTGCAAGGCCCTGCGTTGTTTCAGTTCCCAGATCTGTTTGCTATCAGACTCACTACCCAGGTGTCTCAACGAATTCCCTGCATTCAGTACCACCCATATGCTGATGACTCCCGATGTTCGCTTTTAACTTGGACCTTTTCCTCAAACTCCATTCGCCTATTTAACATCTCCACTTAGGTATCTATCTAATAGGCCTTTTAAATATATCATGTTCAAAATTGAATTCTTGATTCACTTATTCCCCTACTTCCTCCCTCTTAACTGTTCCTCTCCTAGTCTTCCCTATTGCAGTGAATGGTACTACGATTCATCCAGTAACTCAAATACAGACCCCGGAATCCTCCTTGACTCCTCTCTCTCATGCTTTACATTCATCCTGTCCATCACATCTTGCACGTGTTTCCTTGAGACACTCTTGCAGAATCTAATCACTACTTCCCACCTCCTTTTCTACCACTCTATTCTAAGGTACCATGGTCTTTCACCTGGATTGGTGCCAGAGTCTCTTGTTCTCCCTGCTTCCATCCTTTCCCACTAGTCTATTAGTAGTTTCTAGTAGCAGTTCAAAACCATTGGTTTTTAGAACATCTTTTTTTTTTTTTTTTTTTTTTTGAGTGGAACAAAATATTTTTGAAATAATATTGTGTTTTTGGTGAAAGTTCACATAGTAAATGAGGTCTCTACTTGACAGTTTCAATACAAACTGTTCTGTGGCAGTTAACATTTTTCACAGTGCGTCTACATTGTTTTTAATTATGGTCTGGTTGGTTAATTTGCAGTACTCTAGTTTCCCTGCCCCTTTGTCTTTGATTTAAAGTAAATCAGAGTTTTTTTTTTTTTAGCAGAGTACCTTATGTACAGGCAATATCCTTTATTTTGTGTGCCAGTCTGTGGTTTTGCTGAAAGATGATCTCAGGTTCATGGTTTTAAAGAGTATATCTCAGGGTGGTAGTCTTAGGGAGTCCTCTGGGCTCAACTGGTCCAGTAAGCCTGGACTTCTTAAGGATTTGAGTTCTGTTCTGCATTTTTCAGCCTTTCTGTTAGGGTCCATCTTAATAGTAAGGTCCTGATCAGACCCGTCAGTAGTAGTATTTAGGCACCATCTAGTTCTTCTGGTCTCAGGGCCATATTACAGCTAGAGTAAAACCAAAGTCAGTACCAAGACCCTATGTGACCAGGCCCCCACCCACCTCTGACTTTATCTCCTAACGCTGTTCTCCTTGTTCACTGCATTTCAGCGAAACAGTCCTCTTGCTTTTGCTCCACCAGGCTAAAAAAATGTTCCTGCCTCAAACACTCTCCTTTTAATTTCCCTTAACGTCATTATAGAGCTCTGCTTAAATGCCAGGTCCTCAGAGAACTCTTTTCTGACTCCCTTATCTAAAATACCATCCCGTTTGCCCTTTGCCCTCTTAACCTGCCTAGTTTATCTTGGTAGTATTTACCCTATGAGCACTGTTTGCCCCTCTGATCCTGCCTAAAGTTTATGTTAGTTAGCACTGAAATCACATACGTATTTCTTTCTTAAAGGTTGTTTTTTTTTTTTTTCCTTCCCTTGCTAAAAGGTAACCTTCATTGGAGCAAGGACTTTTTGCTTTCTTGTTTGCCGAGTCACGTGTAACGTCATGACGCATAGAGGGCTCTCACATACGAGGGGGCTTCAAAAAGTTCATAGATAAATTCCATTGTTTCTTAGTTCCATCTTTCCCCCCAATTTTTGAATGGTGAGTTGTGGTGGGAATTGCACAGGGCTTTGAATCATTTGCAACTGGATCTGAATTCTTGCCCTGCTTCTTGCTAGATGCCGGGCAAATCTCTGACCTTTCTAAACATCAGTTCCCTCACCTTTAAAACAAGAGTAATAGTGTGTGCTTCAGCAGGGTGCTGGGAAGAGGAAATGAGTTGCTGTGTAAACTGTCAAGTATTCGCTCTGACTGCCCTCTATCTCCTCTATTAACCTGAATCTTTCTGATCACTTGACTTTGTCTGTGACCCCTGAGGTACTTAATTTGCATCATATCAATTCCTCCTCTACGTTATAACTGTACCTAATTGGTATCCTGTAGATTTTCATTATTTTCAGATTCAAAGTCCAACTGAAATGGAGCATTTGCATATACTATATATTATATTGTCTCCTACCTACCCTCTCTCTCCTTAGCACTTGTCTACTTTTTCCGATGTTTTCCCTTTTTACATGCGTTGTAGAATGCTTGATCTTCTCTCTGATTCTAATGCATTATAACACAAACCAAATGTACTATGATGACAGAAATATTCATAGAAAACTGGAATTGCAGTGCTAGAAAGGCCTTTTGAGATAATAGAATCCACTTATCTTTCAAATAAGAGTCCCTGGGTAGCACTGACAGTCAAGCACTTGACTACTAGTCAGAAGGTTGGCGATGTGAACCCACCCAGAGGCGCTGGAGAAGATAGACGTGGCGATGTGGTTCTGAACGGTGCCAACCTTGAGAGTCCTCTGGAGCAGTTCAGCTCTACACACATGGGGTCACCATGAGACGGCACCGCCGTGACAGAAACTAACAATAGTTTCAAATGGGGGGCGGGGGAACAAAAACAGGAGAGAGGGAATGATTTGTCAAAAATCACAAGGGTGGCAGCAGCTGGAACCAGGATCCAGATCTGACACAAACTCATTTTTAGATGGAAGATTCAGTGTTGGGCTTCAGTGAGCATAGCAATCATAAGTTAAAATTTTTTGTGAGTGTGCAAAGGGCCCCAGTGAAAGTTTCTGATTGTCCCAGGCCCCTAGTGACCAAAGTCTTTCTCCATTCCTTCAGACTGCCAGTTAGAGAAGTTACCTATGAGGCCCCGGGATCGGTCTCGTGTGATTGATGCTGCCAAACATGCCCATAAGTTTTGTAACACAGAAGACGAGGAAACTGTGTATCTCCGGAGGTAAGAAGTTGCCACTCTCAGTCCCTATTATGTTGGGGGGCGGGTCTAGCTCCAAGGACCGTAAATGCCTGTGTAGTGCTGAACAGATTAGCCAGTTGGGCCTAGTCCTTTGGCATGTGGTGGTAGTTCTTTACCTCTCTTAAGGCAGTAGTAGCTTTATGATGCTTTGTTGCCATGGCGCTGAGATGTGAGTCTGTTACCACTTGAGACCTGTAATTTGTGCCTTTTTGTTGTAAATAGAATCAGTTCAATCAGTCTGTAATCCTTGAGCGCATACCCTGTGCAGGCACTGAGCGAGGGGCTGGGTCTCTGAGGATGAGTGCACTATGGTCCCAATCACTAAAGAGGTCACAGGCCAGTGACTACTGGGGATATATGAAGAAAAGACTGACTATATGGGGAAACAAGTGACAGCAGGTCTTCAGTCTGAAGGGAGGTCAGGAAAGGCTTCAGAAGGAGGCGACATTTATTATGGGCCTTGCAGTAGGATTTCACCAAGTTGCTGAGGAGGATGAGGAACATTCTAGATGGAATGAATATGGAAGCACTTAAAGCATGCTGTGCTTGGGAAAGTGGAATAGTTCTTTAGCTGGGACGCAGGTTACTTTATGGGAAGGGGTTCGTGGGTACTGAGGTAAGCAGAGTAAAATGCTGAAGTAGATAAGCTTGGGTTTTATCTGTAGGCAATGGAGAGGCATCACTGTTTTTTAAGCAGGAGAATAACCTGTGTAGATCTGTTTTCGATTTGGGGGTCCTTGATATGTATGGAAGGATCCCTGTTGGCACAGAGGGTTAGACATTGGGCTGCTAACCCAGAGGTGGGTGGTTCAGCTCCACCAACTGCTCTGAAAGAGAAAGCTGAGGCAGTCTGCTTCATAGAGATTTACAACCTCGGAGACCCTGTGGAGCAGTTCTCTTCTGCTCTGATCTGTGGGTTGCTGTGGAGTGGAATCAACTCGAAGGTAGCGGGTTTGACTTTGGTTGGTGGGTATGGGAAATTGAAACCTGGCAAGGGATAAAGGAGCCTAGAGTGTGGAGTGAAAAGGGAAGGCTAAAGGTACAATCCCAGGAAACACTGGCATGTAACAAGCAAACAAACTGATTGGGACAGAACCCAGAGGGCCTAATGGTGTGGAAAATGAGATTTGTGTGTGTTCGTGGGAGGGGAGTGCTATTCCTCGACAGGTGCCACATGCCACTGAGATCAGTCCTGAGGAGTTAAAAGTCTATTTAGCAAAAATTCATTTACTGAGTTCCTATTATGTGCCAGGCGGATTCCTGGAAATCTGGGACTGCAAATGAAAAGCCCTTGCCCTTGTGACGCCTCTATTCTAGCATTGAATCAGAAAAGGCTGCAGGCTGATTGATAACTGTGTACTTAAGAAACCAGACTGCTGTAAGCTCACAGTAATGAAAAGAGTTAGGAACCAGTGACGGGTGAGTTTCAGTAATAAACCTGGTATCAAGTACCACGTAACATCTGGAAGTGCCCAAAGAGAAAATTGGCTATAACCAGGAGTGCAGATTATATACCACTTGAAAAATTCACCAAGGAATGACCAGAGAAAAATATCAGGGAAAAACTGCATTGCAACAGATGTTGTTGCTAAGTTACGTGGAGTTCATTCCAGTGCATAGCGACCCTGTAGAGGGTTTCTGAGGTTGTAAATGTTTGTGGGAGCAGAAAGCATCATCATTATCCTGTGGATCAGCTGGTGGCCTCGAACCACTGACACTATAGTTTGCAGTCTAATGCTTGTCCTACAGAGCCACTGCTCTGTATATCTCACTCCCCTGTGATATACATATAGGAAGGTTTGGAAATAACATGCCTTACCGAAAACAAATCCAGTCGTCTGCCATTAACCTTTATTGTTAAGTGCCGTTGAATCAGTTCCGACTCATAGCAACCCTGTATAGAGTTTCCGAGGAGCGGCTGGTGGGTTTGAGTTGCCAACCTTGTGACTCGAAGTGAGTGCCGATCCTCCAGCACCACCCAGAAGTCCTCAGCAATTATGCCCTTGGTGTGCATCTGAGAGAAAGGGCTCTCAAAACCTTGGCTGTGTGTTAGAACCACCTTGAGGATTTGTTTTTTTAATTCTGATACTTCACTGTCATGCTCAGATATTTAAATCTTTTTCAATGAGAGCTGATTCACACACCATAAAATGCCCCATTTGAAAGTGTCTAATGGGTTTTAGAATAATTGTAATGTACAGCCATTATTTAATTTCAGAACGTTTTCATCACCCCAAAAAGAAAGCTCCTGTCAATTATCAGTGCTCCCTACTCCCCTGTTTCTCCAGCCCTGGCACCCACTATTCATCTGTCTTTCTGTCTCTGTGGACATTGGCTATAAATGGGAATCATAATATGTAGTTGGTTGTGACTGGCTTCTTTCACTTAGTGTGATGTTTTTAGTACTCTTCCTTTTTATGGCTGAATAACATTCCATTGTATGACTAGAGCACATTTTGTTTATCTATTCATAGTTGGTGGAACTTTGGGTTGTTTCCAAATCATGCTACCATGAACATCTGTGTAAAATGTTTTATGAAGACATATAAGGGGCTTCAAAAGCTTGTGGAGAATGGAATGAAAAGATAATGGAATTTTCCCACGAACTTTTGGAGGGCCTTTTTGTATGTTCTCAGTTCTTCTGCACATCTACCTAGGAACGGAATTGCTGGGTCATATGATAACTCTTCCAAGGAACAGCCAGACTGTTTTCCAAAGTAGCTGCACCATTTTACATTTCCATTTTCAGCAGCAGAGTGTGAGGGCTCTGATTTCTCCACAGCCTTGCCAACACTTTCCTGTGATTTTCCTGATGTTTTGATTGTAGTCATCCTGGTGGGTGTGAAGTGGTATTTCATTCCATTTTGATTTGCATCAGGGAAAATGGCTAATAATGATTAATGATGTTGAGCATATTTTTATAGGCTTATTGGCCCTTTATATATCTTTGGAGAAATGTCTATTTAAATCATTTTCCCATTTAAAATTGGGCTCTTTTTGTTTGTCTTTTTATTGCTCAGTTGTAAGGGTTCTTTATAGAATCTAAACACTAGCTAATACCTTATCAGGGAACCCTGGTGGTGCAGTGGTTCCGCTTTCGACTGCTAACGAAAAGGTTGGCAGTTCAAACCCACTAGTTGCTCTGCAGGAGAAAAACGTGGAGATCTGTTTCCATAGAGTTACAGTCTTGACACCCTATGGAAGAGTTCTGCTTTGTCCTGTAAAGTTGCTATGAATGGGAATTGACTTGATGGCAGGGGTGTTCTGTTTTGTTTTTAGCACCTTATCGGATACATGATTTGTGCATTTTTCTACCATTCTGGTGTCTTTCCAGAGTACATTTCGTCAAGTCCACTGTATCTGTTTTTTCTTTGGCTGCTTGTGCTTCAGGTGTCATTTCTAAGAAGCTCTGGTAGCGTAGTGGTTACGAATCGGGCTGCGAGCCGCAAGGTCAGCAGTTCAAAACTACCAGCGGTTCCTCGGGAGAAAGATGAGGTGATCTGCTCCCATAAAGATTTACAGCCTCGGAAACCCTGTACAGGGTCGCTATGAGTCGGAACTGACTCCACGGCACATAACAACAACAACAACTGCCTGATCCAAGGTCAGGAAAATTTATCCCTGTTTCCTTCCGAGAGTCTTATCACTGAAGATCTTTGGTCTGTGTGCAGTTGTTTTTGTGTATGGTGTGAAATAAAGGTCCAAAATATTCTTTTGCCTGTGGCTCTCCAGTTGTCCTTACAGCACTTGTTGAAAAGACTCTTCTTTCCTCATTGGATGGTTTTGGCACCTTTGTGAAAACCAGCCCATCATAGATGATCAGCTGTATTTCTAGACTCAAGGCTCTTCCATTAGTCTCTGTCCTCATGCCAGTACCACACTGTCTTGATTACTGTAGCTTTATAATAAGTTCTGAAATTGGGAAAAACTTTTTCCCGTCTCTGGGCTCCCTTTTTTGTTTTTTAGGTGAAATCTTTTGATACACATAAGTGTCTAAATATTATGAGGCCCCAGTCATCTATTTTGTCTTCTACTGTTTGTGTGTTTTTAGTAATGTTTGACAGTATATTTATGCCATGTATTAGAGCCCCTGAGTTTGTTCCTATTTTTTCATTGATGATCTTTATAGTTCTAGGTTTTATATTTTTAGGTCTTTAATCCATGTTGTTAAGGCTCTCTGGTAGCGTAGTGGTTACCAATCGTGCTGCCAACCTCAAAGTCAGCAGTTTGAAACTACCAGCCATCCCCTGTGAGAAAGATGAGGCTTTCTGCTGCTGTAAAGAGTTATAGCCTCGGAAACCCTATACAGGGTCTCTAGGAGTTGGTTCCGACTCCACGGCACATAACCACCACCAATCCATGTTGTTTGTTTTTGTATATGGGTCTTGATTCATTTTTTTGCAAATGGATTTCCAGTTTTGCCAGCACCATTAGTTGAAGAGACTATCTCTTCCCAATTTAATGCTTTTTGTCAAAGACCAGCTGGCTATATGTGGACAGATTTACTTTCTGGGTTCTCAGTTCTGTTCCGTTGATCTATGTATCTTTCACTGTACCTGTACCAGGTTGTGTTTTGACTACTGTAGCTGTCTAGTAAATTCTTAAGTCAGGAAGTGAGAGGTTTCCAACTTTGTTCTCTTCTTAAGCAATGCTTTGCTTATCCAAGGTCTCTTTCTTTTCCAGAAAACGTATGTGATCAATTTTTCTGTCTTCTTTAAAGAAGGATGTTGGAATCTGGATTGGGATTTTGCTGTATCTATAGAGTGCTTTGGGCAGTGTTGAAAAAGCCCAACTCATAACCACTACGCTACCAGAGATCCTTAACAACATGGATTGTTGTTGTTGTTGTTATGTGCCATGGAGTCGGTTCCGACTCATAGCGACTCTGTACAGGGTTTCCGAGGCTGTAAATCTTTACGGGAGCAGAAAACCTCATCTTTCTCCTGCGGAACAGCTGGTACTTTCAAACTGCTGACCTTGAG